TTTATTTTTGATATCCTAGTTTATTTTTCATATCCTAGTTTATTTTTGATATCCTAGTTTATTATCATTTCACTTTTAAATTGTATTGATTGTTTTTTGTGCTTATGATGTGAGAAACGCTTCTTTTCTAAAGTGACCTTTGGCATTGAAAGACCAGCTCCAGACTCTGCAGAGCTGGACTCTCCCTTAGAGACAGGCTGAGAAGTTCAGCTATCAGGAGACACTGGGAGTAGAACCACTGCTCCTCCACATCCAGAGGAACCAGTTGAGGAGGTTCAGGTGTGTCCGACTGGGAGGAGACCCCGGGGAAGACCCAGGACACGCTGCAGAGACCACGTCTCTCTGTTGGTCTCAGAACATCTTGGAGTCCCCCCAGAAGACCTGGAAGAGATGGATGTGGAGAGAGATGTTTGGAGCTCCCTGCTCAAGATGCTGCCCTGAGACCTGAGTCAGAACAAGAAGAAGATGGTGGATGGATGGATGGATGGATGGATGGATGGATGGATGGATGGATGGATGGATGGATGGATGGATGGATGGATGCATGGATGGATAAAGAAAACATGTCTGCCCATGAAAAAGTAAATGGACTGTCCCTATACAGCTCCTTTCTATCTCATGAAGACACTCAAAGCTCTTCACAACAATCTGTGCCTCATGTACCCATTCATGCAGCTCTATACTAGATCTCTACAAAGATAACTGAACAAATCATTCTAATGAGACTAATCAGAGCTTCATCACTTTCAGACACTGATGGGACACACATCAGAGGCTATGAGGGGTTCAGTGTCTTGCTCAGGGACACTTGGGCATGTGACGGTTGGTGGAGTCGAACCTCCAACTCTTGCATTGAAGGACGACTGCTCTAACCGCTGAACCACAGACGCCCAGGTAAGAAATATTTCAAAAACAGAGTAAAGAGTGAATACATGGAACCAGTTATATTTTATCGTAAAATGTGAAAAGCACACTGGTTTTCAAGTTTGGGGTCAGGACCCTATAGAGGACGCAAAACGTCAAGTGGAGGGTCTTGAAATGAGCTCCAGTATTTAAATTAAATTATAAAGTAGTTGTTGTCATATGTGAGAAAAGAAACTGTTGTCAACAGGATTTTCATGGATGATAGTTGATAGATCCGAGTACTCATTCTGTCCTGCTACTGGCTTAGAGATATTTAAATAATTTCACTTCTTTCTCAGTCAGAACTTGTTTGTCTCGTTTGTCTCCAGGTGTCCCTGTGATGGACTGGAGACCAGTCCAGGTGTCCCTGTGATGGACTGGAGACCCGTCCAGGTGTCCCTGTGATGGACTGGAGACCCGTCCAGGTGTCCCTGTGATGGACTGGAGACCATCCAGGGTGTCCCCCGCCCCTCGCACAGTGATTGCTGGACATGAGCACCAGCGATCCCCGTGACCCAAAATGGAATAAGCGGGTAAAGAGGATGGATGGATGGATGGA